GTAAACCCTCCTTGATCATAAGGACATGTTCTCCAAGTGACCTGCATCCTCACAGTCAGTCCCTGACTCAGAAGTCAAATTAGGAATGCTGAGCTGGGAAGTCAGTCAGCTGGAAGTGCAAAAGCACAGGTCTGGTGAGAAACTAAGCAGATAGCAGAGGAGCCAATATTAGGTGTGTGGTAGTCAGTCTTTAGTTTCTTCATGTAATTTCCTGCCAACTAAGTTAGCAACTACATGTCCACAGACTCTCTCCCACCTCCCTTTCCCAGAAAATACCTACTGGTATCTTAAAAAAAAAAAAAACTAACCTGTACCAGATTTTCTGGTGTGCTCGGTTTCATTTTTTTCTGCAGAGAGAAGGCAGTGGAAACCTGTCATAACTCCCCAGCTGAGTATGCCTCCAGCATAAAGGAGTGTCAAGCAGGCCTGGAACTGGCTCTTCCTTTCCCTCCACCCCCTGTGCAGGGAGCATGACAGGGCCAACCAGGAGTGTACAGGAGAAGAGATAGAAAGCAAAGCCCAATGCTCAGCTAACATATGGGAACCAAAGCCAGCTGGTGCAGTTTATAGCAGCTCATGGGATGCCGTTCACTGCACTGAAGATGCCGCAGAGATGTGGCTCCCTATACTTGTGGAGGTCAGGGCCGGTGCAACCTATTAGGCGACCTAGGTGGTCACCTAGGGCACTAGCATTTGGGGGACGGCATTTTCTTCGGCAGCGACCACATCAGCCGGATCTTCGGCCGCCCTGGTCATCGTCAGCATTTAGGCGGAGGGAGCTGGAGCTGGGGTAGGGGGGCGTGGGGAGGGCCACCTGCAGCAAGTAAGGGGGGGCGGCACGCGGGGGAACTCCCCGCCCCAGCTCACCTCTGCTCTGCCTCCTCCCCTGAGCACGCCGCCCCACTCTGCTGCTCTCCCTCCCAGGTTTGTGGCGCCAAACAGCTGATTGGCGCCGCAAGCCTGGGAGGCAGGAGAAGTGGAGCAGCGACGGCGTGCTCGGGGAGGAGTCAGAGCAGAGGTGAATTGGGATAGGGAGCTACCGCACAGCTCCCCGGGCGGGGAGTGGGAGCTGCCACGGGGGAGGCGCCTCAGGGTGGGGGGGTCGGGAGCTGCCACTGGGGAAGTGCTTCAGGGCGGAGAGGGGGTGGGGAGCTGCCGCAGGGCTCAGGGAGGGGGCGGAACAGAGGTGAGCTGAGGTGGGGAGCTGCCACACGGCTCCCTGGGCCAAGGTGGGGGGGAAGCTGCTGCGGGGGAAGGGGGCGCGTCAGGGCGGGGGGGGAGCTGCCACAGGGCTTGAAGAGGGGGAATGGCACAAGGTGGAAGTTTCCCCTAGGGCGCGAAACATCCTTGCACCGGCCCTGGTGGAGGTGGTTCACTGAGATACATTGCAGTGAATCATAGTAACACAAAACTGTTTCCGCTGAACATAGAGATGGCGAAAATGGAATTATCGAGTGCAGAGAAACCTATTCCCCAAGAAGGTTTACCACTACAACTAGTATCTAGTTGATGCATTATAAGGAGAAACACAAAAATCCAAATTAAATGATGACCCTCTTTCCTGTAAAAAGCAACAGAGGGTCCTGTGGCACCTTTAAGACTAACAGAAGTATTGGGAGCATAAGCTTTCATAGGTAAGAACCTCACTTCTTCAGATGACCCTCTTTCCTGATTTCACACTGGTGGGGAGGAATAAAGCAAAACAAGATAGGAAAGGTGAATGGATTTACTCTCAACTATTACCGTATATACTCGATCATAAGCCGGTTCGTTTATAAGCCGCCCCTCCCGCCCCCAAAATGGATAAGTAAAAATGGAAAATTTTAATGACCTGTTCATAAACCGACCCTATAATTCAGGGGTCAGCAAACTTGGGCCATGAGGATAAGCCGCTGGTGGGCCGAGATGGTTTGTTTACCTCAAGTGTCTGCAGGCATGGAGGTAAACCCAAGTAAACAAAGTGTCCCGGCGTGCCAGCTGCTTACCCTGATGGGCCGGGATAGCAACTGGTGAGGAAATTTTTTGGGGGGAAGAAGCTGGGGGTCAGGGAAGTAATCCCTGTGACCACCCCCCACATAACCCCACCCCTAGCCTGGGACTCCCACACTCTCCCCATTCCATCCCTTCCCACCTTATCTGGGGAGGATGTCTCTGGCCTGGCTGGAGCTGCTCCGGCCGACTGGGCAGCGCGGCCATGGCCGACTGGGCAGCGCGGCCACGGCCTGCTCTGGCGGGCCAGACCGGGCAGCGTGGCCGCAGCATGTTCCAGCAGGCTGGGCAGGCGGCATGGCCGCAGTGTGCTACAGCACCCAGGCAGCACGGGCACAGCTGCTTCGGAGGCTGGGGAGAGAGCAGCGTGGCCAGAAGTGGAGAGACTCTGGCCCTGCCTCTTCCCTTCTGGCTGTGCTGCCTCTCCTTGCTCCCTCTGTTGGGGGGAGGGGTTGTGTCCCACCTCTCCCTCTCTATACCCATTCATAAGCCGACCCACTTCTCTGGTGCTTCCCTTTTTTACTAAAAAAAATTCGGCTTATGAACTTCCAATTTCTTCACATTGGCTTACAGAATCATCATGGAAGTCTCTAAAAGTATATGTTATTTACTCCAGAATCATATGAATATTAGTCTCAAGAAAGCACAGTATTGAGTTTGGGAAAAAACAACTCCACACATTTGCTCATTTCTCTCAAGTCATGCAGTCATGCCTAGAATATTCCCCCCCCCCCCGAAGATGGCAATGACTGACCCAGATGCTCCCGTCTCTCTGCATGTTTGGAAGCGAACAAACACCTGTGCAAATGGACAATGAGGACAAAGTGGAGGGGAGAAGCAGGGTTCCCCTGAACCCACATTAGTCCTTCTGCATGGAGTACTGGGTATCAGAGATTCCAGGCATAAAGGAGTAATGAGCACCCATAGGAAGGGACAGAGGGGAATTATTTATTATGAAACATGCTCCCCTTGGAAAGAGGCTTGAACTTTGTGGCAATTGTTATCCAACAGCAGTGCTTCTCCAACGAATACTACCTCCCCAACTGAGCGCCAGATAATAATCTTAATCATATCGAATAGTATCTTACACCATGTACCTTACTTCTAGAACAAGGTACTATTCAATGTCAGTAAGGGTACCACAGTTAGGCACTGAGATATTAATTCCTTACAGAGAGAGCCAATGGAACATAACCATAGTACTGAAATCAGTGGTAGCATAGCTCAATAACCAGTCTTGCTACCAGGAGAAGGGGTTGCTGGTGCAATGTGTGCAGGATTAGCTGTGGTGTGGTTGGGGCCAGGGATCCTGAAGATTTTGGACTGTCATCCCTGCAGATTCCTGACCTGAGCAGCCCTATCCCTTGCAAATTTGCTGGGTTACAAATTGTGCCTTAAAATTAGGGCAACAAGGGAGATTAACCATAAAGTGATATTTGCAAGATATTTTGAGGGTATGGAAATAAACACTAAAGTAATCATACCTCTGCAAGCCAAATATTTTGCTGCATAGTAATTCTGAGAACAGAAACCATTCACTTAGTACACTGTATTTCAGCCCTTTCAAGAGAGATATAGCCAAATATGACCAAGGAATCAAAGGCAGTTTTGTCAAGTAAGGCCTGCAGGATTGGGCCTTTGATCTGTAGGGTAAAAAACCATCTAAATTCAGAAGTACAACGTAAATCTGTATATTGAATCCACCCCTAAGACATTTCCACAGAACTGATATTGCTTTGGAGCGCTAGATTGAATTTCTGAACAAAATCAGCAGCAACGGCCACATTCTGTTCCTTTAGAAATGGGTGAACCTTCCTCACAAATGGTTTCTGGGGGCAGTTCCCCGGATTTGCAAAACTAGCCTGAGCTCAGAAACCCTTTTAAAACAAATCTAAATTTAAAACCATTTTTATTTTTTACCAAGAGTGATTCCTTTTAAATTAAATAAAAAGCTGTGTTTTCCCCAGCTAGCTAAAAAGAAGCTTGTGCTGTGTAGTGGGACTAGAACAAGAAAGCTCTGCTGGTGTAAGTGGACACACTATACAGTCTATACCATATACTTCTAATACAGTTTACCACTACAAAATTTCTCTTCCCCGCTCATTATTTCCCATCCCTCCTCCCCACTCCCGCCACCCTCTCTCTATATTAAGGCACAAAACCAAAAACGTGCAAGTCAAACTTCAAACAAAAATGCTTGCAGGGGGTTGAAATAAATCAGGCAGAACAAGTCTGCTGTTCTCTATTCAAGAGACCAGATTCCAAGCTGATGGCAGTGAATACAGTATCAGTTTAAAAAAATGGAGCCATAGTTTCATCACTGGAATGCAAAAATAATAAACTTAGATTTTTATCTTTGCAATGTGAGAGTTCAGCAACACGTAGATTAATTTATTTTGACTTTGGAATACCTAATTCACTCAAGCTAAGATTTCTGTTTCCCAAGTTTCAGCCCAGAGTAAAATTTTGCTGACAGATATATAACTCATATCAGACACAGGGGAAATGCTAACTCTAACCTTTACTATAAATGTCATGAAATGTACCACTGTGATACATGCTCCAAACAGAATTGTGGGGGGAACCATATAGAGAAGTTAGTAATAGAAATTTTGAAAATTAATTTTTAAAGAGAACTGTGCTCAGCTTTGACAGGAAGCGTATTACAAAGGATTGATGTAGAGTTCTTCTTGTACTCCATTGTATACCCATATGAACACTGCCAATCAATGTCAACAGCTTATTAATATTTTACTGAAAACCTGTAAGATGATTCAAACTTCAGCTGTCTTGATAGGGTGTTACTAAGCGACTTTGCTGCCTGTCTGAGAATTAGTTTTCACAGCATTCTTTCACTCAAAACTACAGATCTATGTCCATTCAAAACATTTTCCTCATAACCTGCAACAAGCCCAAACAACTGTTTCCCAAAACTGTATGTCTGCACCGCCTTTTCTAGCTAAACACAAGAGAGATGCCGTGGTGTGTCTGAAATGATGCATTGCACTCACCATAATCACTGTCATAAAATACTATGAATTTTTGCCATCGAAGTTCGGTGACGAGTTTCAGCATAACGTCATTGAGGCGGACAGGCGGTCTGGCTGCTAATGTGTATTCTTCCTCCTCAAGACTAGGATTTAGGTGGCAAGCAGTGCGCGGGGAGCCTCCTGAGTTGCGCTGTACAAAGAGATGTGGGATGTGCATGGCATCTGTCAGGGACTGCAGGGCATTGGCTGAGGCACAACCAGTGGATGTCACTAAGGCTAAGATTCCCAGGGTCATCAGGTCACAGGCTGAGGAAAACAAAGGAGAAAACAGGTTTAGAGCAAGTTCAAAATTTCTTTGGTCTAGCTAGGCACTACAGACAATGAGGTAGATACAATTTCTGCCCTGAAGAGCTGGACATGCTGTGGTTAGTTATACTACAGTTATGCCACATTGCTCCAACTGAGAGCAAGACCCCATTGAGCTAGGCACTGTACATACACAGTCAGAGGCAGTTCCTGCACCAAAGAGCTTACAATCTAGGGTGACCAGACATCCGGATATTACCAGGACAGTCCAGATATTAGGGGTTTTGTCTTATATACGCAACTATACCACCACCCCGATGGTATAAAAGTGTCCCGATTTTTCATACTTGCTATCTGGTCACCCTCTTACAATCTAAGTTGGGAAAACAGAACACGGGGAAGTGGGGGGAGACAATGTCTCCATTTTTCAGATGGGAAATGGAGGCAAAGATTAAACAACTTGCCTCAGGTCATACAGGAAGTCTGTGACTGAGACAGGAAGTGAACTCAGATCTGCTGAGTCCCAATCTAGTGTCTTAGCCACAAAACCATCCTTCATCTGATGTGTATTGCAGAGATCAAAATGTTGGGGCCCTAAAGAGAGATTTCAGTCTCAAGCATTTGGTTTATACAAAGTTCTGAAGGATTTTTAAACTTACACAAAAAAGTGCATCTTTTTAACCAAGAAGACTCTCAAAGTATGTTTTAGAATGAAGGGAAAAGCATGAATGACTAAGCATTTATTAACACTGTAAAGTTGTCTTTAAAAAATCTGGAAGAGTAGCTGCAATTTAAAAGCAAATTTGAAACCATCTGCTACTGAAAACAGAGTGTCACACAAATTCTAACTACATACGGTGTTAGCTGTAAAACCTAGCCCTTGGATCTCCAATTTAGCAAACTATTATTTTGTTTAAAAGTGCAACTAACACATCTGTTATATTTTTCCATACACAAAGAACAACCATGTACTTTCAGTCTAAGTTACTTTTATTTTAGATTATGGGAAAGTACAAGAAAGGATCACAGTAAAGTTTCCATGACAGAGCAGTGTCGCTGTAACCTACCAGTCTGTGTGTTATGCAATCCCACCCCCACCCCCACCCCATGCCCAGTTTACAGAAGAATCTGTTATACCTCCCACCTATCCCCCAGGCTAAAGCACATAAAGAGCCATGCTTTCAGCTCTAAAGGTCCCTAGTACAATCCGCAGCACCAGTCCCAGGTAATTATATAGCCCCCATTACTGTAGCATCTGAGCATCACACACTCTTTAATGCATTTATCCTCACAACAGTCCTTTGAGGTAAGGAAGTACCATTCTTTCCATTTGACAGCTGGGGAACTGAGGCATGGAGTAAGTATTTGTCCCACAAGAAGCCTGTGGCAGAGCAAGGAACTGAGCCATATCTCATGTCCTCGGTTAGTGCCCTAATCATTGCACCATCACCTTCCTCTATAAGATAGTACCTGTCACGTAAATGGGGAGTCATCCAGGATCTAAAGTACTGATGAGCTTCCTTTGTCCACAGGAAATATTCAACCTATTGGTCAATTCATGGCGTGTCCACACTGAACCTGATCCACATAAGAAGTGTGGTAATTACAGCTATCAGCTCTTGAGTCCGAGTGTAGACTCGTGCTTTTAGCTCTGGAGGCCCTCATTCAATCCCCATTCTGCAGAAAGGAGGCCCCTAGGAATGGAGAGGTGCAGTACAAATACACCTGTACCCCGATATAACACGAATTCGGATATAACGTAGTAAAGCAGTGCTCCGGGGGGGCGGGGCTGCGCACTCTGGCAGATCAAAGCAAGTTCAATATAACGCAGTTTCACCTATAACATGGTAAGATTTTTTGGCTCCCGAGGACAGCGTTATATCGGGGTAGAGGTGTAGTACAACACTCAAACAACTGCATACACTACAACTTCTAATCTGTAATATTCATTATTCAAGCAGGAGGAAAGTAGCCACAAAAATCAGATCTGGATTTTGAACAAGAAGTTCCAGAGTTTAAATCTAGAACAGAGTCCATTATAAAGACACTCTCCTCCTCTCCTTCATATCCTCCTATGCCCGTCCCTCTCCCAAAAAAGTTCTGTATTTTGAAGCCCACACATACTCAGTATGTTTCCAAAATTTTCTGCTCTGATCATACAACAAAAACAGGACTCTTGTGCTAGTTCTGTGTGACCACTTTGGTCTTGTATGGAATCAAAGTCCGAAGAGATGGAAAAAGCGAAGGAAAAGAAATTAGGGATCCATTGAAAACACTCCAATATGCCAGATCCAGCCATTTGGCCTCCCTCAATTCTCAGAAGCAGAGGACCTGTACAGGTCACTGGTAATTACATACCATACATATTTTTGACACAACCAGTTAACTATTCCACAGAGGTCTTTTTTAAAAAGCACAGAACACACAGTGATTTCACTTTGACATCGGATGTACGTGGAATGCTCAGCAAGTAAACTAATCAAACAGTGAAAAGGTGAAGTGCTTTTAAAACCATTCCCTTGATGGTCCTTACAATAAATGTGTCATCTGCATTATCTAAATTTACTCTGTGTTAATTATAATTATATAAAATTGTTGGTTTTTTTTCCCTCTGGGAGCTGACCTGATTCAGCAGCAGAGAAGCATTGCATTGCCAAATAGGAGACCTAGGTTTGGTAACAGATTTGATTTCCCAGGCCAGTTGCCAGAGAAAGCGGAACATGTCACATAGGTAATTTAATTAGTCACAGTAGGGGACGGAATAGGGAAGAAAGAAGTGGGGACAGAGGAAAGAGAATAGCCCAGCTGAGATAAACTCCTGGAGGGATCACCAACCGGTGAGCTTTGGCGTCATCTAAGGTGAGAACAACATGCCTGGATCTACAATTCTACTTGTAAAAGTAGCCAGAAGAAAAGCAAAACCTTTTCCTAATAGTGTGCATTGTGGGACACATCATGGCTCAGAGATAGGTAATGAGTTATAGAAGCAATCAACTGTGGAAAATTTGACCTATGTCAGAAGCAACAGGAAATTCTTACCATTTCACTGTTGCTTGGTGATCTAAGTGAAATGAGAAGGCGTCCTCAGTATAGCTCAGACCCAAACTTTAAGGTCAGAATAGCTGCTAATAATGGGAAAATAATTTTCCCATTATTAGCAGTAGTTGGCATTAACTGCTAACCTCATACAGTAGTTGGCATTAACTGCTAACTGCTCCCTTGTTGGCAGCTAAGAGTACAGTGATTCAGTGGATTGTCGAAAAAGGGCCCTCTGATCTCTCAGGATACCCTGAACACATGGATAATGCAGTGTGTAGTTGGGGGATTTTGACCTGCTGCATGTTGACTGGCTAAGTAGAAGAATTCAGTATAGAAGGCTGTTAATCTAGTTGCTTTCACAAGTGCTAAAACATTTGTAATTTCATTATATTCCACATTTACAGTCTGAAATAGTATAATCAGAGCAATACAAAAATGGGGGAGAACTCTAAGCAATTTGATTTCACATTGTATTAGTCACGTCCTTCTTACTACAAAGTTTGTGTAACATGAAACAAAGCAGTTGATTTTTTTAAATGGAAAGCCTCTACTGTATAAATTACAATATGGTAGAGTCCAAAGAGTTCAACCAACTTCACAACACTGACAATCCTGTTAGGATTTCGTATATTAAGAACAAATGCATCGCCATCCGTCTGTATGCATCAGATAATAACTCTGAAGTTATAACACAGAATCCAGTTCGGTTTTACTTAATACCTCTGTCATTCATGAGGCATCCTTACAGTGGTTTAAAGCAAAGTAATGACCAAGAATAATAAGAAATCTGAAAGCAACTTTGGGGACATTTGTCAGGATCCCCCTCTCCCCTCTGCTTCCCAGCTGTTGCTGTGATATGAGAAAAGATTTGTTAATTTTCTATTCTATTTTTTTCTGATATTGGCAGGGAGTGCTATCAACTGGTAAGAGCGTGATTGGGACTCATGGATCCTGGTTTGCACAGAGTTCAGTTGCTACATCATTATATGACCTTGAGTAAATCACAAACTCTCTGTACCTCACCCATATATAAAATACTAAAAATGCTTTGCACATGATTGGTGCTTTTCATTTGAAGATGTCAATGTGCTTTACAAAGGGTGATAGTTTGCTTATCTGTAAAATGGAAAACAAGAAGATGTAATTTTAAGGAAATTGCTCAAGATCACACAATGACTCACTAGTATTGGGGAGAAGAGAATCCAGGACTCCTGACCCTCATTCCTCTTCTCTAACCCTTAGACTCCAGTACCTCTCACTGCTTCATCTAAGACTGGTACAATAGCATCTGCCTACCTCACAGGGATATTGTGTTTCAGAGTAGTACTCCTGTTCTTTTTAGGGATATTGTGAGGTTTCATCAAGCAATGCCTTTACAATCTTGAAATCCACAGCTGAAAAACAGAATATTTTGAATGACCTGCCCTCAGGGTTTCACTGGTTAACAAACAGTAAGATGTATTAATTTAACTGTATTGCCTTCATCACTGATGGTCCATGTTTTACAGACGATCTCACATCCCACAAACCACTGGGCAGGACTCCCGCAGTTTATTAGGTGATGGCAACATGAACCCACTATTGCCATCACTTCTAAAGGACAATAATGTATACAATAGATCTAAGTGAAATCTTTTTTTCTAGATTCTTATTGGCCTACTTTTGCCTCTGATCACAGATCTGTCATCCTCCTACTTACTGTTAATGAGGCTTTCAGAACTATTGATCTCTCTGTAGTCTTCATATGCCTTGAGCAAGAAGCATCTCCTACACTCTCTTTTGAATTCTGCTTTCATAAGCTCTCCTTTTTATTTCTGAAGGAGGATTTTCATTTTTCTAACACCTTCTCCATTACTGAATACCTCAAGGCTCTATCATTGGCCATGTTCTCCATCCATCTTCTCTGTCTAGGACATTTCATTTCTGGCTTCTACCTTGGATGCCATCACTTTCTGTCACCTTTAACTCTTCTTGATCTGTCTATTTTGACTGTTTGGTCCTGGCTACAGTATACTACAACTTTTTACTACTTCATTGACCTACATCTCCAACTCCACAATCACACTCCTTCAGACTATATGTTAGCTTGAAAGTCCTGATATTTTGCAGTCATTATATTACACATACATTTTCCTATCACATTTCCCTGTCAGTGGATCTGCTGAGGCTTATGATTATTTATGGAATAATGTAAGAATTATTCTTTATCTTGACCCTAACATCTATTTACTATTCATTTCATCACTACTGCTATTCCTTTCTGGATTGCCATTTTATTTCTAAAGACAAGTACAAGCTGTAAAGTTTGAATTTGGAACTAATTTCCCCCAAAGCTCAGGGATGTTTGGATTCTGGAGTTTGGCTCAGGCCCATCTCTAACTAAATCCTTAACTCTCTAAACTTCAGGGAGTTTATGTACTGAAGGCAGACTAATATCTTGCTCCAGAAAACAGAGGCATATCACAAACTTCCAGTCTCCCTTCTACTGGTTTCCAATTCATTTCAGAATATGATTGAAAAATTGCTCTTGTGCTGCCATAATTTTCAATAAACTAGCTCCCACTACATTGCCAGCCTAAATAATATATCCAAGTACTATAATTCACTCTGCCTCTCCAATCTTGACCTCCTCTCTACTCCTCTGCTCTGTTCTTAAGTAGTTGGATCTCACTTCTATTTATGTTGCCAAATCTATCTTGGATTCTTTCCCCGATTCCTTCTGGGATACCGAATCACCTTCCCCTTTTTAAGGTTAAACCTTTCCTTTTCACTTGAATTTGTGAGTATCTTTCCCTTTACTGCTATCTGCAATATGGCTTATGAGAGAGATGCTATACAAATCAATTGCATTTTATAATATTTGTCTATTTGAATGTTGAGAACTCACTGCCACGTTGCTAAGAAAGTTATTTCAAATCTGGCAAGTGTGCATACACACTTCATATACCCACCACACTTCATATACCCAATACTTCTAGTGCAACACTCTGCAAAGAAATGATTAACAAAGTTGCATTTAAAGTGTTTGGAATTAGGCTTCAAATCTAGCAGCCCATTGAGATCAGCCTGTGGCAGGGTGGGGCGGGAGGGAGTTCACACTTGCTTTGGTGCTATTGTTTCAGTTACTCAGGCTAAAGACTTATGCTTCATGAAGGTTATCTTCATAAACCAGAAGGACTAAGAAATTTGGCGTTTATTAAATGAAAAAACAGATTCCAAAGCATACAGCAATATCTATGTGTGTGTTGGGGGTGGGATGGGAGGACTGAAATCTATGTAGACTGAATCCCTTAAATTCATTGAATTATCCATGCCTGCAGATTTACACAGTCGAAGGCCAATAGCTAGCTAATAACCTACTAACTTACCTAATAAC